ATATATATATAATATATATATATTATATATATATATATATATATATATATATATATATATATATATATATATATATATATATATATATATATATATATATATATATATATATATATATATATATATATATATATATATATATATATATAGTATATATATATATATATATATATATATATATATATATATATATATATATATATATATATATATATATATATATATATATATATATATATATATATATATATATATATATATATATATATATATATATATAGTTATTACATGTTTACTTAATTCGCTTTGCAGACATAAAATATTTTTGTCCAACACGTGCATATTATAGTTATAAGTTCTATGTAATTCTTTAACAATTAACCTAAAATGCTTTTTAATCTCAATAGTTTTCTCCAAAATTCTTATAATATCAGCATAGGCAGAACCGCCGTATACACTAGTAACTATTTGGGAGGAACCTACAAGTGCTAATGGTTATGTTAATAACATGAGTCACTTGTTTAGAAAATTGGAAATTTAGAATAGAGTTAAAATTCGATTAAACGTAGGTTAACGGGTTGACTAAAACACGCGTCCAATCATGGGACACATTTTTCAATGAATTTTATTTATTCTGATCGATCGGAAATAAATTACCATAAGTCTCAAACAAAACAAAGGGTACAACCGCATTTTGCGCAGATTAACAAATGTAAATTGGAATTTGCCTCAGTAAAACACGTTTCATGCGATACAAAACACTAATCCAACTATGTTTCGGGCCTATTAAATTAGAATATGGACGAGTTTTAGTGAAATGTCGATATCAATCGCGAGAGTTATGGGTTTAGATTCAATCGCAAGCTTTGAATTTCATTATGTCGTAATTTCCAGTTTTGCATTTTGTTTCGGACACTGACAAGAACGGTATTTTTGAGAAATTCGAATAGCTGATGGCTCTGTTTTCGCTGTAGGGTTCAACCGCAATTATTAGATTCATCATGCTAGTAGTTACGGTTAATGATGAGAAAAGAATACTCATGTTTGGTACACCGATTTGTAGTAAACGAAACAAGGTGTACGTCGTCTTTTGATCTCAATAACCAACAAAATTAACAATGCTTTTTCGGTGCAGGTCAGAAGTCCGATAAGTAAATTTGTTATATTAGAGTTTTCTGATTATATGAAGGAATTTAAGTCAATACAGTGAATATGTGATGTTTAATCTGACAGTGGTGTTAGATTTTAATGCTATGTCTTTTCTTCATATTTTTAGGAAAAAAAAATTGTCACTGTTGATTTAATAAATGAAATAAAATCCACTACTTAAAAAAAAACTAAGTGAAGCTAGTTATGTGGGAGTTTCACCCTATTCTCCGTCCGACTTTCGTAAACGTGGTAAACGGCGTTTGTTTTCATAATGTTCCACTCAATAGAGAAATAGCGTATTCCCACATCATTCACTAAATTATCCACGCAGAATTTAATGTAACTGCACGAGCATATAGAAGCATAAGTTTTACACATTGTTGGAACATGCAAGCCTTGGTCGTTTTTTATCGAGCTTATGTAAATAATGTTGAGAAAGAGAATTCCTAAATTCTAATATCTAATCTGATCCAATGTCTGGATATCTAATAAAGCCAGATCTATGGATTTATTCTGCCTATCTTTTCGAGCTGCAAATTATGACTTATATAGCTCGCTTGTTAAAGTACCTTGATGTTTTTCTGTGTGTTATTTTCCTCTTTTTTTCTAATTTATATTAATATATTTTTTATAGGGTAGAAAATTAGGTAAACAAAAACTATTTTGTAGCCATCTACTTCAAACATATATAGGCATATTTTTTATAAAGCTTCTGGATTCCCTCTGCCTCGGTTTTTGTTGAGTCGAATTAGCTAACGTTTCGTCAATCATTATGTTGACTTCGTTATATCTTAACTGAAACGTTAGCAAAGTTCGACTCAACGAAAACCAACGCAGGAGGAATCCAGGAGTCTTATAAAAAGTATTACAGTAGTCTGATTAAGTTTCTTTAAAACATATATACATTTACAAATGAAATCAATTATTTTAACATTCCATAACTACCAAATAACAGTTTCTACAAAATCGACTGCTTAAACAAAATAAATTCACTTTAATAATCAGATTTTTTTTTATTTAAGTTTGTCAATTTACCAAATACCAAATTCCGCACTCTATTTGCTATGCATTGGAAAACTAATGACGTTAAAATTCGAGGCATTCCAGATTTATTAGGCCATTTTTTTAATAGAGGTTGTTGTGAGTACTATATATGATTTAAATCATCTATGGACAGCGAACAAAAATACAAAAAAATTACGTAACTTCCCGTGTCCAGCGGATACGAAACTATTCACTATTTGCTTCTATTGAACAACTCTAATTTTTTGAAGGTGTTTCAGTATTACGCCGCTTGTACCGTGCGTTCAATTTATTTTGATAACATTTTCATTGACTGTAACTTTTTTGTTTTTAGAGTTATCAAGGTAAAAAAAAACAAAATATAGGGTTAGTAGCCAAGTTTCTTCGAAGTGACGTATGAAACAAAACACTATTAATTTTCTGACATATAAGTTCATTGAGCCTAAAGAACTATTCCAGGTTCTTATGAACTCTACTTCCTGGAGAGTATAGGACTGCAGCAGTACGGGGTCCGCCACAGTATCAAGGAATGAAGTAATTGATCAATACATGCGCTTGACGCGGCCGTTGGATTGGAGAACTTAATTATAAAACTTCTGTATATAAAAAACTGTACGAACATGGTTCTCAATAAAATTAAAAAATAGGAACTTTTTTATACTTTCAAAAAGTGCTGTGACTGACTGCAACAACAATAATTATTTACAAAACAGCAATATTTAGAATACAAATTTTTACTTTAGTGTGTCTTAACATTTTTAGTATTTGGTTCTACTTTAATTTGTAAATAATTATTGTTGTTGCAGTCAGTCGGGGCACTCTTTGAAAGTATATAAAAATTTTGTATTTTTGCCGGTTTGTCAAAAATGAGTGGACTAAAATATAAAGCACGTTACATCATTGTAATCGGAATAAGATATTTTATTAAACACATATATTATATACATTTAAAAAAATATGATGTTGACATATATGTCAGAAAATTGATAGTGTTTTGTTATATGTCACTTCGAAAAAAACTTGTCGACAAACCCTGCATTTTATTTTTTTGCCTTCCTTGATATATCTAAAAACAAAACAGTTACAGGCAACTCAAATATTATCAAGATAAATTGAACGCACGATACAGCGAATATAATTCCTTGTCTCGCAAACACTTGAGATTCTAAAATTATTGAAAATACCGTTTATCGATACAAAAATGATATTTTCGGCACATAGGGCTATGAGTATCGATACCTCAGTAATAACTTAAACTTAAATAACTATAAAGACATTTCACTGGTTGTGAATAGATTAAAACGATATAAGCTTAAAATGCATTTTGCGGTTTTATTTAAAAACTGTTTATATAAACTCCGATATTAGCAGTCATTTTATTGAGAACCATGTTAGTGCAGTTTTTTATACACAGAACTTTTATAATTAGGTTCTCCAATCCATCGGCCGCTTTAGTCAAGCGCATATATTGATCTATTTCTTCGTTCCTTGATACTGTGGTGGACCCCGTACTCAGAGCGCTGCAGTCCTATAATCTCGAGGAAGAGGTGTCCCAGCGTAGACGCTTGGGTTGAGTCCAGTTTTGTCCCTTTGATATTCAAGGGCCCACAAACAGGATCCTCCACAGTTCCGGCAGATTTTTCCATAGAATAGAACGGCTATTTCGTTATAGGTTGCGGTTTCTAGCAAAACAAAGAAATTTTCTGATGTGAGAGTTTTTTATGAATTAAGTCTTAATCGAATTCACAGAAATTATTTAACGGAACCGCATTTTATATTAGTAGTCGCTCTCCAGCAAATCGAACTTTTTTCCGAAACCGTAATATCAAAAGGCGCAATGGCTGAAAACAAAATCAAAATAAAGAAACAAAAACTCACTATCATACATTATGTTTTATATAAATCCTATTGTCCTACAGGTATGGAGCAAACCCTGAAAACATGCGCAAATGCACCCCCACCGCTTCTGGGGCGAAACTCCAGTCAGTTGTAAGGGCGCTATGGTCGCGTAATCAACTCTCGTGCGGTGTGAATCGATTTTCCGCGAAAGTTACGGCGAAATCTGCACGATCTGCGCCAGTTGTAACGCCTGTGAAGATTCGGTGCGAATATCTTCGCATTTCTTCGGCGGTGTGGTCTCTCATCTTCGGGTGTGACTAATCTAAATCTAAGATAAAATATCAGCGGAAAACCCTCAAAATCTCGCGTCGCGTTGTTTAGAATTTGGTTCGGAAGTGATGAGGTGTTGAGGTGTATATATTTTGGATAGAATAAATTGACAATGGGTTGCGGATGCTTATGTTTTACTATATTTGCGTTGATGCACGCCGTTGTGGATGCTGGAAAAGAAGGTATATTGTACCGTATGGTATTTTGCAGTTACATTTGAGAAAAATTAAAAAGAATCTGATGCGACAAATGAATTCATTGTTGAAGTTACGTGTCTCCATTATTTGACATCTTTCACTATGTAATTTTATCATTAGAATCCGACAAGTTGTCTTGAAACTTTTCTCGATTAAGACAGGGCTTTGTTACTCGCTGTCACGAGCGGACTAAAAGTATTGCGTCGGAAAGCTCCGAAGTTCGGAAGACATCTCTGCTTTATCAGTTTTTATTTAATTCTTTTTAGGCGCATTCATTTTGGTGTGCTAAATAATTCATTTCATTCTTTGCTTTCCCAAAGCTGTTATTGTAAATTAAACAGGAGCGTACGGGTATCGTATACATAATTAACACATAAAAAATTTATGTAGGTAGTAAACTTTTTTTGAGTCCAACAAAATGTTATATTTATTACTTCTTTTAAAATTGTAAAGGATGAGCCAATAGTCGATACTTAATAATCAATTGCGTTGATAAAGTTGTTTGGATACACTTATATTTTTATATTGTTATATTATTACGCATACAGAATGTTTGTATTTTCGTGGACAACTAACAACTTTAAAAAAACAGTTGTTTACACATATGTCATATATTTAGTGACATCTTTTAATTTTTTGTGATGTTTGTAGGTCTAAAAATACTCATTTCTTGGACTGAAAACCTTTGTTATATATTTAGGGTTTATATAAGCATATATTGCGACTTTGCATAAGCAATAAAACGTTTTTCCATGGTCAAAATGCGATGAGGGCGAAAAAAAGAAAACAACCGACCACAACAGAATTGTCACTATTTTGGCTTGCTGTGAGTTGGTAAATCAATGTTTGACAGTTTTATGCCACCTAATTTAGTAGTACTTTATGGTTATTGCTTATTTTACACAAAAAATTGTCTCATATCCATAAAACGTTTGCTAAAAAAAGAACTAACCAATGGAGACAACGCTATTAATAAATAAAACAAATGAAAAAGAAAAAGTTTTTTATTTAAAAAAAATATATAAAAATATTTAATTTTTATATGCGGTTCTATTAATTCCTTGTAACCCTTAAACATACCGTAATTTTTAAATTTTTGTTTTTGTCATTCGTTTAACTGAGAGTTTAATACTGTTTCTTCTAGGTTTTTTCCCATTTGAATATTTCCAGCAAATGTCAGAATATTTTTGATAAATTTTTTCCCATTCTAAGAAGTTAAACAATTAGCAAGATTTATTGAAAATTGTCAAATGACAATAAATAGTAGGTGCCGCTTCTGTAACGTTCGATTGTTTTCTTTTTCTGCCATGTTTCGCTGCCATCTTCTTGGTAAATACATATCCGTATAGCATTTTTAAAATAGAAAAACATTTAATTGTTAACATTTCGAATTCTACAGCTGTTTGAAATAGAAAATTTTATACATTTTCTATTTCTATTTGAAGAAAGTCATTTTTACTATCCTTTCATTTAATATTTTAATGTTAGTTTTTGTTCACTCTGCAATCATATTTTTAGTATAAAAAACATACTTCTACAAGGAAATCAACCCGAAATATATAACATAGCCTTTCAATGGGGAAAATAGATACATTTAGACTGGCAAACATCAGTTTTGATATAAAATTTGTCGACGGTAGGTAAGTCTTTGAACGACTAATACTCAGTTTTGTGTACTCCGTATAATTATAGTCCGCCAAAATTACATTGATCCTCAACAAAGACTGTAAGTTCAAAAATTTTAAACTTTGGTGCATATGAATACGATTAAAAACAATTGGAAGTTGAAGTAACTGAAAATAATATTAGTGACACCTATAGGATTCTTTTTATAAAACTTCAAAATTCCTTCTGCGTCGGTTTTTGCTGATTCAAACTAGCTAAAGTTTCGCCAATCATCCTGTTAGCTTCTTCAGAGCTTCACTGAAACTAGCTCGCATTTTACTCTATACCTGGTTTAGTATTGCTTAAGGGAGGCGGAGATAAATGCCACCATGACTACCGTCTCGGATGACTGATTCCGATATTTGTGGCAGGTACAGACCTCAGTCCCGGTTAAAAAAAAAACAATCTTAACCGCTACTCATGTCTCTACCTGTCACCAATATGGAAATCAGTCATCCGAGACGATGTTTACGCCCCTCATTTTGCTTCGCCCCCTCTCAAACAATACAAAAGCAGGTACAGAATAAAATACGAGCCAGTCTCTGTCAAGCTCTGAAGAAGCCAACAGGATGATTGGCGAAACGTCAGCTAGTTTGAATCTATAAAAACCGACACAGGAGGAATCCAGACGTTTTATAAAAATTATTACAGTGGCCTGTGGAAGTTTCTTTGAAAAGCTACCTATAGGATTGGCACAACAAGTAAATCAAATCGTCCCAGGCCCATCTTGGTGAAAGTCGTACGTACCACAATAAAGGAGGAACTGTTTTTGAGTGCCAAAAAACTAAAAAAATGCAGGATACTCCATCTCAAGCGACTTTATCCCTGAACTAAAACAGTAAAAAAAATCTTGCTGATTCGTCTAAAAAAAGCAAGAGAGCCAAACTATTCTGCTAAAATAGGAAAAAATAAACATTTGGTTAACGGTAAAACATATACTATTGAAGACCTGGAAAATATTTTTGAAAAACTACCAGCTAACTCGGAACCAGCAACTTCTACAACTAGACCGCCATTTGAAATTACCGAAGAGAATTACATAAAAACAAGACCTAACGCCATAAAAAATAGAAATTACAATAATGAACGCACCGGGGGACTACCTCTAGCTACGAAAACTTATTTTCGATTGTCTATATAAACTAGTGAAGAACATTATTAATTACGTATTATTGTCCTTTCCAATTTTTTTATCTTGTAATTGAAATGTATCTACTTGTATAGTATAAATCCTTATAATTTGAGTAAGAATTTAAACCGATGGAAACCTGTGACCTGTCAAATGTGTCTGAGTATGACACAAGAGTATACAATTTTTCATCGCTCTTTTGTTTGGATAGTTATTGCGCTGTTTATAGTGAGTGCGATATTAATATAAACAATGGCACTATAATATACATAAAACAGAGTCTTAGCTATCTCTAAAGGATTATCAAGACTGAACAATGCATAGTAATACAAATAATAGAACACAATCAAAACGCTAAACCAATATTAATAACTGCACTGTATAAATCCCCATCGATTGATGAAGACAATTTTGTCGAGAACTTCATATTTAAAAGGAATAAAAAACGCAACTCAATACCATTTCGTTGTTGGAGAGCTTAATATTGATTTGTTAAAGAGAACAGACACTAATATTTTATCAGAATTAAACTTTATTTCTCCTATCAACAAAGTAACGAGACCATGATCTGGAACATGTTTAGACCTCATATTGATTAAGAGCAGCAATTTTTTGTAAATTTCTATTACAGACCATTATAGAATAACAGTACATATACCCTGTGAGTGAAGTAGTATAATAATAACCAATAAATTAAAAAAAAACTTATTTAAATAAAAAAACAAACAAACAATTATTTTATAGGGATAAAATTGCGGACTGTTCTTATTACATTGTATTTAGAAACGAAGTAAAAAAATAAACATGGATAACAAACGGTTTAATTAAATATGTAAAGGAAACAAATAACCTATATAAAAAAATTGAGCTAAAAACAGATTCATAAATTATCGAAGCATTCTTAATAAATGAATAAAGACGCCAAAGCTAATTATTATAAAAGCAAGTAGAACGACATGCGATCTGCCGAAAAAAACCTTTGGAAAGTTATTAAATCTATAGGTAGCAAACCAAATGCACACATCCCCAGTATTCAACTAAATAAAGCAAATGATGCATGCACCGATCACTGACAAAAGGAAAATAGCAAATGAATTTAACAATTTATTTTCAAGTACATTGAAAGAATTAGCAGGAAAAATTAGAAAACCAAAAACTCCTAAACCTACAAGACATATACCAACAAAATAATTAAACAGCTTTTTGATTGGTATTTGTCCATCTCACTTTAAACTCTTTGTTGTGACTCATGAGATGTCAAATTACAGGCCAATTTTCCTAAAGTTTCTGAAAAAATCTTGAAACTAAAACTAACAGATTTCTTTAAAAAATGAAATAATTTTTGAGAGACAATAGGGTTTTCGAAAAAATACAAGCGCACAATGTCAAAATGTCTGGATAAAAGTAAACCCTCTTTATGTATTTTCTTAGATCTTGCAAATGCCTTTGACACCGTTAGCCACGCACCGATTTTTCAAGCTCTGGAGGACGTAGGAGTGAAAAACATACCTCCCGATCTTTTTAAAAGTTACCTAACTGAGAGAAAGCAACACGTCTTGATTGAAGATGAACTAAGTAGAGCAGAATGTGTTACAGCTGGCATTCCCATAAAGGACAGTTTTGACCCCAGTCTGGATATGTCCTAGGTTTTGCTAGGTGATACCGTAGATGATTGGATTAGAAAGAGCTTAAATTAATTACCGAAGAAACATAAAAAGATATAATTGTCACATTTAGTTGAAGCAGCAAAACAGAACCAAATTTTAAAACACTTGACGTTGATAACACGGAAAAGGCAGACATCAGATCGACAGATAAAATCAAATATTTCGGGGTGTAGATCGATGAGCATCTGAGGTGGGTCCACCACATCAATAATGTTCTAAAAAACTTAAGCAGCATCCTTTATAAATTTAAATATTTAACAAACTTTTTTAGCGAAAAACGCTAAGGACAATCTATTATACTCTTGTACAATCTAGACTCGAGTATGGCATTTTCGATGATATTTTAAAAAGGTTGAAATTTTGCAGAAGTACTTTTTAAAAATACAGCTTAAACCTTAACCTTTAAAAACTACTACAAAAAAGTTTTATTTATTTCCATTATTTCAATTAAATATTTAGTTATGTGTACATCTGTGTTTTATATTTAGATATAGCGAAGAAGGCATTGATTATCATATTTTAGC